TGTAACACCCACACCAGTTAACACCTACAAGATGTAACACCCTCACCAGTTAACACCTACAAGATGTAACACCCTCACCAGTTAACACCCACAAGATGTAACACCCACACCAGTTAACACCGGCAAGATGTAACACTCTCACCAGTTAACACCCACAAGATGTAACACCCACACCAGTTAACACCCGCAAGATGTAACACCCTCACCAGTTAACACCCACAAGATGTAACACCCACACCAATTAACACCCGCAAGATGTAACACTCTCACCAGTTAACACCCACAAGATGTAACACCTACACCAATTAACACCTACAAGATGTAACACCCACACCAGTTAACACCTACAAGATGTAACACCCACAGTATTGAACTCCCAAATTTTTCCAGGTAACCCCACGGAGATATACTTGTTTGGTACTCAGATCGCCATGATTCTGCTGGGCGCTATTCCGGGCTGTTTCTTCGTCAGCATAGTCATAATCCCGATTTTGTACAACCTGAGAATCGTCTCTATTAACGAGGTCAGTAGATGGGTCACCCAAACAAATATTCTTAATTTGTTTACATACTACAGCTGTGTTGCCCAGGTTTAATTTTAACAAGGTAAAGTTTACATAAACATACCAAATACCAATAGGGCTGACCCCAGATTACACCGTCACTTACATAAACATACCAAATTTTAACTCTTGTGTTAAAAGGGATGAGGAAAAAACACACACAAACGCATCATCAAAGATGGTGGGCCGACAGAGGCTGGCCCACCATCCCCCAATTCTACTGTATACATGAGCGGATCAAATTTTGGATCTTTATCTTAAAAAAAAAAAAAAATCTGTGGCAGCTGACATCAAACAAATATGAAAATATATGTGGCTGAGGGGGGGGGGGTGGCACTGGGGACAGTCCCCAAGAATTTTACCTTATTAGCGCTACAGAACGACACGTGGTGTAGTTTAGTGGTTCTTAAATGTTCATTCAATAAATATTCCTAATAACTGAAGATGTTATAATGTACCAAACTGGTTGACTTAAGCTCAAATATGAGAATAATACCCAAATTAATTTGCCTGGTATTAAAGAAATGTGTCTGAGTGTGAACCAGGAGATGGCGGTGTTCATGGTGGGATTCCTGTGTGATAGCTTTTTTGTTTCTCTGCCTTTCCATCTCTTTAGGGGCTTTAACGTCTGGTAGGTCTAGACGTTATTGACGGTGAGAGAACTGTTATTGTGCTATGTGGACACCCAGTATTCTTTTCTCACCTCTGCCTATCACAATTTTTGACATTCAGGATACGCTAGGCCTCGCCATTTCCTCTAGTATGTCATGGAAGCCACACATCCTCAGCACTGCTAAAGCCGCCTCCCGAAAGCTGGGAATGCTGTACAGATGCCGTAGTTACTTCATTCCTGAGCAATTGCTTCAAGTATATAAGGGATTCATTCGTCCTAATTTGGAGTACTGCTCTCATATCTGGGGTGGCTCTTCTTCTGTCCAACTGTTAGATAGGGTGGAATCAAAGGCATTTCGTCTTATTAACTCTCCTCTTATAGTTGATAATCTCTTTTCCCTTTCTCTTCGCCACAATGTTGCTTCACTCGCTCTCTTTTACAGGTTCTTTAACGGGCACTGTTCGGTGGATTTGACATCCTGTCTACCGCCGGCAAGGCCGTGAGCTCCTAACACACGTCTTGCCCGCGGTGCCAACCGATTCCCTGTGGATGTCGGTCACATGAGATTAACCCGTTATAGTACCTCCTTCTTTCCTCACACATCCAAACTGTGGAATGCTCTGCCTTCTTCTGTGTTCCCATACTCATATAATCTGTCTCACTTTAAAAAGCTGTTTTTGCGGAGTCTTCGTGGTGTAGAATAATATAATATTGTTGTTTTATATTTTTTATTTATTTTTACTCTTATTTATTCGACCTGTGCCCAGGTGGGCTAATTCCCGTAAAAAAAAAAAGACCTCAGAACTAACTTACCCTCAACACTGTTGTTACAAAACTGCTGGGGAGATTATATTTTGTTGGACTTTTTATACGCGCTCATTTTAGTTGATGAATACAGAAAATAAGTGAAATAATTCTGTAGCGTTCATCAAAGATTTCTGCAGTAGTGGAATAAACATTCTTTGAAGTATATTTAGACAAAATGTGGTAAAATAGGAGGGCGTCGACTCAGGGAAATGTTTATATACATTCTGAGAAATGTTTGTGTGTCATTTTCTGAACGATTCGAGTAGAGTAATTTTCTCTTAATGTACATTATCAGCTTATCCACCCCAAGTGTACAAATTACATGGATGAAAAATAGAGTATAAGTCCCACAAATATATGAGCTGACTCTCTGCATACGGCTTCCTTGTACCCATAATTTAAAATACCACTTGCAACAATTACAATAATAATAATAATGATAATAATAATAATAATATTAATAATAATAATAATAATAATAATAATAATAATAATAATAATAATAATAAAAACAATAATAATAATAATAACATGAATACAGAAGTGGCTGCTCTAAAGATCAAATAAAAATCCTTGTGGGGATTAGAGAGGGAAGGAGGAAGGTGCTTGCTTGCTTGCATTCAGCTTGGAGCCTGTGAGGGCACAAATAGACTACTGACACTTTATATTTCTTACAGTATATAGAGCTGAGGTTTGAGTCACGACTGCTAAGGACGCTGTCAACTCTGTGTAATCTTCTCAAAGCTTTCATTTACATGGGCATCTGCCTCTATGCTCCAACATTAGCTCTGTCTACAGTCACGGGCCTCGCTACCTGGGTATCCACACTTATCTTGGGGACAATATGTACCTTCTACATCACAATTGTAAGTATGGTGTGCACCAAATACAGAGACCTGTAGTAATAATTTTTATATATATATAGTTAATAAATGAATCTCGAGATTATACTATATAAACCTTTTATAGTACAAAATATTCATAGCATATTTATCATGCTCTTAATATCAAAAAGCTTTTATGGGAACATTTTACCAGAAATATCCTCATGGCTTCTCTTTTAGCCTCATTGTGGAAATGAATCAATATGTTTACTATTCAAAGGATCAATTTAGGAGTGTCAAGGTGGAGCAATAGAGGTATAACTTGTTTATTGCAGTTTCGATTTATCACAATTCAATTTATCACTACGTGTTTCGTTCTTTTTTTCACAATACCTTCATGAAACAAAAATAAAACTGCACACATGAGTTGCTTCCAGTAGAGCAGAAATTAACGAGAATCTTTAATATTTGCAGACAAGTTTCAATACACTGCATATTCCTCAGTTATGGAGCTTGGTACTTAGCCGATTGTATTGATCTATGCGTGCATGTAGTGAGAGTTGTTTAAGTATGTATGTGTGTGATTATTTCTGTAGATTTCACCCAAAATCTTATATAATGAGTCCAAAAAGATCAAAGCTGAAAAAATGAGACATCAGACATTATCTAAGGACGAGAGTGTGGTAGAGCGTTGAAAATGGCCATGACAGACAGAATTATGTTCTCACAGTTCAGTAGTATCTAATATTATGCTTAATGCATATTTTTTCTATGTATTGTACAAAGAATCAGTCAAGGTACCTTCAAAGTTCCTTGCAAGGGAAAATCTCCCTCAATATATACCGTAAACAAATGGTAATCATTGACTTTTGTATAATATTACACTTTTTTACGTAAACTTGTAGGTTGAGCAGGATGAAATAGGTGATAATTTATCACCTATTTGTTTTGTGCAAACAATCCTTAAAAAAATTCTTTAGTAACTTGGCTACTTTTTTACCAATGATCACATCACAGTCGTAACTCGAGCATGGACGTCAGTGTAGCTGCAGGTGTGCTGGTTCTTGGGTGTTTATAAGAAACTGTGTTAACAATGACAAAGTGATCATATAGATATCTGTCTTTTATGGGAGGATATTTAAACCACATTAGCTCTTGGGAATTTTTTTAGAAATAGTGCTACATATTTATACCCTGGTATACAGTGAAAATATTTTCTGAACTCCTGGGTCTGAAGGCCGTCGCAATGATCATTGAAGGAAGCCATGTTCATTTGGTAAGGTTGGTAGGAAGAGGTGGTAAACACTGTTAGTATTAAAACTTTTTCCCTCAGGGTGGTGTAAAGGCTGTGGTGTACACAGACGTGTTGCAAACGTTGCTCATGTTTGGCGGGGTGCTGGTGGTGGTGATCCTCTGTTGTATTGGCCTGGGCGGCGTTGACAAAGTGTGGGCCATTGCAGACCGAGGTGGACGCATCCAATTTTTCAAGTGAGCTTACATACTTGTCATAGGCCTATCATCTAACCTTAACGATTTCGTATTTCAGACACATACGGGTCCTATTTGTGTAAGCCTCTTACAGGCTGGCACCAGAAGTGTACCCCTAAATAGGTTTTAGGCCTTAGAAATGAATGGAGTTCAGCGGAACCTTTCACAGGGACGTACGGGATATAACGGTGACAGCTACACTGGTAATATATTAACACTCATTCATATAATGCTACATTGCCCATATAACATGTATGACTTAAGCCACCTACTAGAAAGAAGTTTTCCATCTTAAGGAGGTACACTCGGCAACAGTGAGGCTTGGCAAGTGACAGGATGGTGGTGAGATTGTTAACTACAGCAGTGTTAGAGTAGTCGGGGGAAATTAGGAAAAGGTTGAACTAATTCATAATGAAATAATACTTGGTAGTAAGAGTGAGAATACGTTTTTAAACAACATACCAAATATCCTGACCGATCTGAGGTGAGTTTTTGTCGTCGTCTTGAAAAAATGGCGGCCGTTCGCTGTTGTTGATGTTTTATTCATTAACTGTTGATTTTTGGGAGCATAAAATTGTGCACATTTTGGTATATTCATCTTTTGTGTACGATTAATACTTTCCGAAAAAAAACAATCTTCACTACTGGCCACACCCTTCGCTATTTTTACATCATCTGGTACCGTTTTCCACACCAGCCATGAGGTCCAGTACGTGGAGCGTCTTTTTTTAATGTGGTATCCCTTGTAGACCTGTTCCAGGATTAGTGTTTTTATGACAGTTTCATTTTCTTTGTAACTTGTTCAGTATTTGTAGTTACACATGAAGTTTGGGAGTCAAATTCAGTGCCGTTGTGATAATTAAGGTCAGTATCAAATGTTCATTCCTTATTAGTCCCTGAAAAAATAAAAAAAGCAAAACAGACATTATATTCTTGTTGTTTTTTACCATTGGAACATTAAAGTGTCAAAATTAGATGTGGAAACAAAATGTTTTTTATATCAAAATGTATTAGTCCTACACAAAAGCTGAAGATACCAAATGTGCAGAATTTTACGCTCTTTTATTTTGTTATTAAGTGTCATCTCCCTAAAATCAACGGTTAATGAGTAAAACATGAAAAACCGCGAATGGCTGCCATTTTTTCAAGATGGCGGCAAAAGCTTACCTCAGGTCGGTCAGGCTGTTCAGTACGTTGTTTACGAACGTATTCCCAATAATTCTACCAAGGATCATTTCATTATGAAAAGTTCAACATTTGGCATAAAAATTGTCTAATTTCCCTGGACTAGAGTTTAACAGCTATATTTTGATATTCATTAAGATGTTGATATCTGATGTCCTTAATAATACGATATATATTTTATCGGTTGCTCTCTCTCTCTCTCTCTCTCTCTCTCTCTCTCTCACATAAATATGCGTTTACTTTGACATTAAAAATACTTCCAAATACAGGTGCAATACATAGGCAGTTCACATTATGGATGTGGTTAACTGATAAACAATTAAACCAAAGGTAGCAGTTTTATAATATTAAACTATTAATTATTATTTAAGATACTGAGAGGTTTCCAAATGATCGTATATTGACTTAAATAATGAAGAAAGTTTGTGTGAAAATCTTGTGGCAGCTGTGGTTGTAGTTGAGTTGCCAATTCACTCTTTCCTGAGGGGGACTTATGGTAGAAGCGGTACCTTTCTTGCCTCGCAAGCGAGATGTCACGGGTTCGATTCCCGGGCCGGTGGAAGTCATTTGGACTTACTTCCTAGCCCCCATTAGTCCCTGTTCACCTAGCAGTAAAGTAGGTACCTGCTGTAAGTCGAAAGTTGCGAATTCGTATTCAGGGACAAGCTGTTGGAGCTTCCAATAACTGGATGACATAAACCACTGACTCTTCAGGCTTCTACGCCCTTAAATCGTGAGACATAAAGGCAAGCATGAACTCAGCATGCTTCCCTGTTGGGCGCTGTAAACGCTTCTGCGCTTCACCTTACACAAGGATGTAGGGGGTTGCCCAATAAAAAAAAAAAAAAAATCTTTCCTGACACTTATTTTTAAGTAATTATCTATTTCAATAAGCATTACCTGCAGAGTATATATTTTATGTTCTTACTATATTATATTTATATATTATAAGTGTAGTCTATGCATATTATAAACACATATTTCTTTGTTTCACAGGTGTTCAACTAGGCGCAATTCTTTTCATTTTTTCACGCCATGCGCTTTGTTTTAGGTAATCCAATATACTACTGTATATAGAATTATTTTTATTTTTATATCACAGTTTTTTATTGCCTTACATGCCCTCAACTCTTCAATATTAATCAAAACATTCTCCATAAACGGCCATGATCCTCGTATTTTCAATGAGAGAACTCTCTGATTGGTTTTTAGCCATTTGGGCCGCTTGGGCGCTGTGCAAGGCTAACGCCTGATCGAGGTGTTAGCTTTTCCCTCTGAGTGTGTCATGCGCACAAGTCAAAAGCAGCGTCTGTGCATACAGAGTAGCTAACACGTTAGGTAATCCGTGCATCGAAAACGACTTACAATAAACGACTTATCTCTGCTTTGTATGAACCCAAGTACTTTGTTAGCCACGTTTCAAGCAAACGTGCATTTGTTGTCTTGGTTTAAAATTCCTACCTAACTTTACACCAAAATCTTTCTCACAGTCGGATTTCTCTACATCAACGTTGTTCATCTGATGTCTGCTTTCTCTGTTTACATCTCCAAGACTAAGTACTTTACATTTGTCTACATTAAATTTCATCTGCCATTTTTCATACCCTGCATTTTTTTTTAGATCTTCCTGTGGTTTTGCGGAGTCCTCGTCTTATTTAATTACACGCCCTATTTTAGTGTCATTAGCAAATTTACTTAAGTTGCTCTCTACGCCTATATCTATGCCATGGGCCTCCATTTTACGTATTAGTCTTTCATGGGGTACCCTGTCAAAGACTTTGCTAAATTCGAGGTAACCCACATCGTAACCATGCCCGTCGTCCACTGATTCGAAAACAGTTGGAAAGAATGTTAATAGATTTGTCAGACATGAACGCCCATTTGTGAAGCCATGTTGGGAATCGTTGATCAATTTGTGTTTCTCCAGGTGATTTTGAATAGAGTTTGAAATTATTGCTTCCAGTCATGTGCCTACACCTGATGTTAAACTGACTGGACGGTAGTTAGAGGATAGTGATCTATCTCCCTTCTTGAAAATCGGTATTACATTCGGTATCCTCCAGGATTCTGGTACTACATTCGTTTTTAATGCATGTTAAACAAGTTTGTTAAGGGCTTACTATGCTCTTCCATACATTCCTTTAATACTCTGGCAAATATCTGTTTGTTTACTAACATCGTTACTAGTCATTACGATCTCACTTAACCTATTTCCTTCACTATCTCTGTGTTGTGGGATTCTCCGTCTTGAACAGATGGAGCTCAACTGAGGCATGGCAGGAAAACGTCCATATGAAAACTTGACTTTTTGTTCACTAGATGCAAGTACATTCTATCTCGTGACAAAAATAATGATCATGTGAAAGAGGCCTTAATCAGGCGTACTAGGTCTGTCTGACCATGTCAGGTTGAGATCAAACCTCAAATTAAATCTAGTTGTTATCAAGGTCATGTTCAGGTGGCGTGTCAACCTGGGAGCGTTCCTGGAAAGTTGCCAAGTAGTGATATTTGTATTTCCTTTATAACTTTTGACTAAATTTTAAGTTAACATGTGTTTATAATGTTGCTAGTTATATTACATTAATATTCTCATCATGTTTCTTCAATTCCTACACTTTTGATTTTGCTCATGTAAACCGGGTGTTACATTGTGGGAGTAGTTACCTTCCTCGCCCAAGCTCTCCTTACTCGCTCTCCTGTCTCTGGGTTGGCCACCCCTGTCCTTTCCCCAACTGATCCTGTGGTCCTCCGACTGCACGATGATGGATTATATCTTCCATGAGTAGGTAAGATGGTTCCTCCGGTGTTTAGGAGGTTTTACCACATATTAGGTTGGAGTGTTTTTATTTGTTTCCTGTATTTTCATGTTGTTCTTGTTCTTAATTGTAAATATAACCTTTGCCTGTCTGGACAATAATACATCGGGTTTTCAATTAACTAGTACAGGAGAAGGAATATAACAGTGAATGTAGAAAACTTATTGTTGTATTTGGCGAATTTTGGTCAGTTATAAAGGCCCCCCAAAGGCCACCCAAATCTCCAAAGAACTGGCTTCTCACTCTTTTCTTATAAGGGTGTGTAACTTTTTTTTTCTTTCTTCATTCTGGTAATTACTGGTGTATAGAGCACATTACCCACCATTCTGTAGACATCACTTTTTAGAGGGTGAAGTTTTCAATATTAGTAACGAGGAGTGAGGGACACCATGTGCTGTGCAAAATGATCCTTCACATTGATAATGGGCAAAAAATAAATAAATAAATAGAAGGAAGGGGATCATACAGTATACTGGCACAAATACATTTCATAGGCGTGAATGAAACATGTGGCACAAAACATATTTACTTTGCTTCAGCCTCGACACGAGCCCTTTTGAGCGCCACACTCTGATGTCCACTATGGTCTTCGGCTGTTACTTTATGGTCTCTACCATCGGCTTCAACCAAAACGCCTTCCAGAGATTAGCATCTGTGAGGACGCTTCAGACATCACAAAGGTAATAAAAACTATATTGAAAATTTATCCATCTTCCAGGAGACACATCAATCATGTTATAAAAACAAATGTTCTATTTACATTATGTAATTTTATAAGTAGCACTTAGATCTACCGTGACAAATATTTAGAATATTCATAAATACCACCATGGGTGCTGGCAGCACAGCAGTAACACACGTGCCTCTCACAGTTATGTCCTGGGTTTAATGCCCAGCACGGATCACAAATGAGAAGAACTCCATTCACTGACAGGTAGGAAAACTTCTATAGCGCAAAGGTATAGGGTGCATTTATCTGGTGGTTGAAAAGATGTCCAGGTCTTTAAACTGCTAAAGGACCATGCGAGCACGGGGGTCGAGGAGACTGCAGTGGGCACAGGGATACACGTGTCAATAGGTTACCTATAAATTGTGCTAACAATGACAATAAAGTGACATTAGTCAGGGAGTTAAGCCACAACAGAGAGAAGAATCAGATCTTGGCGAGGTTAAATCTTTACAAAGTGAACAGTAGAAGCATTAAAAATAAAATGAAAGAAATCAGAGCTCTGGTATGTATGGAAAAAATCGATATAATAGATTTAACTGAAACCTGGATTAACTTACCTGTCGAATATCAAATTAAATGATATGTATTATTTCATATGGTTAGGAAGAACAGGAGAAGAGGCGGGGCAGCATGTCAGGGATAATTTGAAATGTGGCATTAAATAGGAAACTAAAACTGAATTGAATATAATAACAACTTGGAGATAATTAACCGATGGTAGAGAAAAATTCATCATAGGAGTAGTATATAGACCTGCTAAACTTGATAGTGTTGATGGACGACTTATTTGGGATGAAATATGACAGGCATCCAGACACGATACCGCTAAGTCTGTATAGTAGGCGACTTTAACTCAAGTCAAATATATTGGACTGACTTTACAGGTAACTCCGAATCATAGGATTTCCTTGAAACTGTCCAGGACTGTTTGTTAAGTCAAAATATAACTGAACCTTATCCTGGGAAAAATATATTATAGATCCAGTTGTGTCACGAAGAGAAAACTTCACCTATAATGACGACGTAGGGAGCAAACTGGCTAACAGTTTGTTATATAATAAAAAAAAAAAAACAAGGTGACGTTCAACCCCCAAAATTAACCAGAAGGATCAGGAAAGATATAAGAAACACAAAGAAAGATCATAAAAAGAAAAGGACCAAACAGGCAGCTTACCCGTGAGCTAACTGATAACGAGGGGGAAATGAACATTATTCTCAACTGATATGTTTCATCAGTTTTCACAACCAAAAACATAAACATGATACAGTCAGAAACACTAATAACTACCCCCCTCACTAACGTCAGGAGCCAGTGAAGGCCGATAATGACACATCGCCAACCTTGATACTCCAAGTACTAGTTTCAAAACTACCCAGCGACGTTTACACAGGGGTTTTGTCCGATCGTCAGGCCTTCACTTGCAATGCCTCCTGCTACTAGGGACGTAGTCTTTCATAACTGTACAAAAAATAAAAATATATTCTTCAAAGTTTACATAATGAAACAAATACTATTATACATATTAATGTAAAAATAATCAAGACATTTTTGAAAGTCTTTACCATAAGCTTGGGATTTCGAGTCTAAAGAAAAATGGGAGACAATAGAAAGTAAATACAATGGGTAACTGAAACAAATAATGAGGGAAAGGGGAGATGATCATAACTATATATATATATATATATATATATATATATATATATATATATATATTTATTTATTTCATGTAGATCCACAATGAAAACGTGGATAAGATAAATCTCACCCCGCCAGGACTCGAACCCACGATCTTATGTGTGTGACCGGGGAACGTTACCTCTTACACCACTAGGACACTAAAAGCAATTCTAGACTTTGTTATATTTCACACAAGGCCTGTTCATCGAGCTTATGGCTCCATGAACCTCCAAGGGAATTGCCGGTACCTCTTAAGTGATCAGAGAGTAGCGTTTTACCAAATCCGGCTTCGAAACACGAGGTACCATTTATATTTCATTAGCCCAATGTAAAGCCTAATCAGGATCTTATAAAGGAAAGTCAAGGACCATGGTTTTTTGAGGAATAACAAACAACTGTTCGAGATTGACATGTCTTTACTATAAAAATATAACACAAAACTCTGACACCACTCAACAAACATGAAATAATTACGGGAGTCAAACAATTAAGAGAATCAACAATTAATGGAATCAACAATTTAATTGGAGTCAACATTTAATGTAATCAAACAGTTAATGGAATCAAACAATCAATGGGAGTCAGCAATTAATGAAATCAAACAATTAAAAGAATCAAACAATGAACAGATATTTCCTACGGCAGCGGCCTTGGGGGAGGTCCATTCAGCTCCTCACACGAGTGACAGCGGTGGCCGATGTCTTGCTACAGCAGGAAAAACACCGGGGCACCTACGGTGGAGAGGAACTGGCGAGGACGTTGCAGCCGCAGTAATCTTTGGGTTAGGTGTCCAGAGATTGACAGTCGATAGGTGAAGGTCTGGGGACACAGCCCACGAGTCCAGAGCCTTTGATGAGAACACCACCAGAATTTGGAAGAGCAGTAGGGGAGGTGTGACTGGTTTGAGATCTGGGTAATGTCTGCCAGTGACACTGGTAGCAGTGACCTCCTCACCTCCACCCAACCCCCCTGCAAGGAGAGTTCGCGCCAGCAAACGAGCGAGTGAGCAGCGGTAACGAGCAGAAAGATTGTTACCGCCTTTACACCCATAAAGCACGCGGACTTTTACATATAATCAAGAACCTCACCCCGCCAGGACTCGAACCAACGATCTTATGTGTGTGACCGGGGAATGTTACCTCTTACACCACTAGGACACTAAAAGCAATCCTAGACTTTGTTATATTTCACACAAGGCCTGTATGTATGTGTGTGTTAAGTCACATTAGTAACAATGTAATGTTTGTCTTGCAGATTGGTAATGGTCTTCCTGGTGGGGTTGTGTACCTTGTGGAGTCTCTTCTACTTCTCGGGGCTCGTCGCCTATGCCACCTACAGTGATTGTGACCCGCTCACTACCGGCAAGATTGACAAACCTGACCAAATAATTCCATTCTTGGTGACTGACAAGCTGAGTCACTTGCCGGGGTTGGCCGGGATCTTCGTGGCGGCAGTCTACGGCGGCGTCCTCAGGTATTTATTATAATTTACATTGGTGCTATCTAGCTGTTGCTGGTATGATTTATTATACTGTGTTCCAAGATTATGTGATGCTTCAGCTATTGGAAATGTACTATGTCTAACTCGAGAATTCCTCTTGTTTTTCCATTATGGAAAATTCTTTCAATTAATATAATTATCAATGCTTGAACTTTCTATGCAGCCCTGGTGCTCCATAAATTCCCTTCCTTCAACAATTAAGGGACCTAGACAAGTCAATCCACATTGTACCTATATAAATGGCACATAACTTTAAGTTATTTAATTTGGAAATCTATGTATTCAGAAGATAAAGTTGACATGCAAACTTCTCGATCTCAGCTAATATTTCATTTGTGAGTTCTGGGTTTGTATCCAGGTGTGCAATTTCAGTGAGAATTTCGTCACCTGCCGTGTGAAAAGCCTTCCAACAGGTAAGTTTCCCTTTACATGCAAAGCTACCCGTGTTTTCCGCACTACTGAGTGCATGAAATACAGGAGGGGCGGCCAGTTTGTTTGGACCCAGCACTTGCACTACATGCTTCAGGAGATCACTCGCTGATGCTGTCCACTTCCTGTCATATTTGAACTGTCCTCACATAAGTCAGTATACCGCCTTAGGGAAAGGACAAAAACCTCCGTGACTGCAGAGTGACTGGGGACACTTATTACACTGAGTTTGTGGCATCCACAGCTTGCACGAATAGCTTTGTGTCAGCGTCTTCTTGTTCACTGTCTAGGTAGCTCATATACCCTTGTGTGTACCTATGCGCTGGTTTTCGTGTACCACAACCGGACGCTGATGCTGAACAACAGTCTGCATTATCTTATCTGCAAGGTGTTCGGTTAATTACAGCTTTGTCTTTGTGTGTGAAAGAAAAAGTTCATGTATTCGCCGACACTCCAGACACCGTATACACCATCACACGCAAAGTGTACTGTAATCTACAACGTCACAAATGTATTGAAGTGATGAACTAAAATGTTTATAGTAAAATGCCACACTTGGTGTAGTTAAACATGGAGACAGAGGAAGGTTTACCAATGTGATTACAATAGTGCAAAATAGTGAAACAATGGCGGACAACTTAGATATGTAAATATCAGAAAGCATCTATGTATGGTAAACAAACCACATGAAAACTGACGGTTCTGATCTTTCTTATTAACATGTTGGTAAAGTATCAACATGGTTTCTATTATGTTATTTAAGGTATATTTATTATTTTTGAAAAGGTGGCACTTTATATCACGACAGTTACTCTTGCAGTAATGTGTGTGTGCGTGTTGGGGGAATGACCACTTCACAGTCTGGTAGCTGACTCCCTGGTCCCTTTTTGAAATTCTAGGGAGCAACAGTCGCACTCGGGGATACCACATGAGCTGGATGTAATGGCTATAACTCTGCTGGTCACTCATTCCTTTTTCACACAAGGAGTTGAGTTATCCAATAACAAGAAGGAGGCTGATGGCTGTCTACTCATACAACATCCGCCCTTCAAGATTTGCCACACTGCTGTCTATCTCTCCAACCACATCAGTGAGAAAGTTACTTCCTCAGTGTGTTTTAGTCTGCTGCTTTCTCGTGTCGAGACGAACTGTCTCGGAAGGATATGCCAAACATTTTCTCTCACAGGGCTGATCGTATAACAATATACAACGTGATAGATGTTTTGGTATCACATGAATTGGTGTCGAATTTCCTGAAGTTCATTCTACTGTACTAGACTTAAGGACCAACTGGTTTCACATATTCCTCAACTGGAAGCTCACAATCAAGGAAGAGATGTTTTGCTAGCATTCCAAGAGGGTGTAGGCTCCATCCTGGCTGAGGTTGGCAAATACAGTGAAGCTGTTCATTTGGCCAAGGCTACAACAATAATACGGCAGGAAATGCTCAAACATCAGGCAAAATTCCTCACCTTACTTGATGATAGAGGGACCTTCACCATACTCAGTCAGTGTCCTACATCAGTTAGTGAAGACCTCCGTGTGTTGGAAAGGTTTGTGGAGGTGATGTATGACAAGTCTAGTCGAGCTTTATGTTTCAATGATGCAAGACTTGATATATTTGTTCGCAAACAGAGATCATATAATGTAATTCCACCAACACTGTCTGCTCTAAAGGAACATGTAAAGCGAGCAGCCTATCAAGATGGAATGATTTGGGGTCAGGCAACAGTAGCCTAACCAGACATTCCAAGTCTTGCTAACTGGCCCAGGAAAAAGAAAGGAGATATGTGGCAAATACACTGGACAGACCAATAGCAGCGAGCTGCCAAGACATGACGAAGTGTTCCTACAAGAAAGACTGTGGACAGCCATGTATATGTATCCGCTCTGGTCTCACTTGCACAGCTTTGTGTGGATGCACATGCCAGCAGCTGTAAATATGGAAGAATTCTTATAACAATATCTCCCAAGGATATGAGCAAGATATAAACATGTTTATTAACGTTTAACTAAGAATCATACTCACTTATTTTTATAAAAAGAGGTTAAGGTATGTGCAGAACTGGTACTTTATGCACAAAAGAAATATCTGAAGGTTCTAAAACAATTATAATAAACTAGCAGAATCGCCCATCCGGTAGTCCACGGTAGGACGCAAACCTCCGGGAGGCTCTACATTGTCTCACTGTTCAGTCTCCAAAACTTCTTCTTCCATCAATAGTTCATTAACGGTGTATGTAAGTTCCACCTTGTTTTTCACTACAACGACACAGCAAAGTATATTTTTTTTAGCAATAAACTGTTATTATTTTATTGTCTAATCGTCACTACATATAACACCACCCATCATCACTACATATAACATCATCCATCATCACTACATATAACACCATCCATCATCACTACATATAACACCATCCATCATCACTACATATAACACCACCCATCATCACTACATATAACAACATCCATCATCACTACATATAACACCATCCATCATCACTATATATAAAACACCATCCATCATCACTACATATAACACCATCCATCATCACTACATATAACACCATCCATCATCATTACCACCACCATCATTACCACTACTATTAACCAGTCTCTACCACCACCACCACTATCACCACAAACATATCGCTATCACCATCACCACCACTACCATTGTCACTGCCACCGTCACCACCACCACTACATATAACACCATCCATCATCACTATATATAACACCATCCATCATCACTACATATAACACCATCCATCATCACTATATATAACATCATCCATCATCACTACATATAACACCATCCATCATCACTATATATAACATCACACATAATCACTACATATAACATCATGCATCATCACTACATATAACACCATCCATCATCACTATATATAACATCACCCATAATCACTACATATGAATCGGCTGCTTGTCCAATTAACCAGTCCGTTCACACATATTTATATTTGGGTTTTAAGTAAGGAAACCCAAACGGTAGTTCCTTTGTTTTATTATAAAAGGTTGTAGATATAATTCCTGAGTGTATATCACTGTCTAGGAGTGAATGAGAAAGGGACGACGTTTATGTATGATAAACGTTAGGTCACGTCCTTACGATATGAGTTGAGGTGAGCTACTGAAGCTTAAGGGCATCGCAGTGCGTGCTTACAGAAATGCTGAGCTATGGGTCTCGCCCTCTTGGGTGAGTTGCCCGCTCACGTGTCCATCTCATGTCTTACTCATAGACAGTGGAAAGTTACAGGGTGGTGAATCTGAATATAATATCAGATGTATTGACCCATTTATATAATACGTGCTGTTGATGAGACAGGGGCCTATTACATCGCTCGGTCACCTACCAGCCGAGCTCCGTGAGGCCTAAATAACTCAGAGTACAGTACATCCTAGACAACCCTAACCATGTTATAAACAGATATGTAGACACTAAGCTGGGGATATTACTGTAGGGGTATTCTCTACTACAGGGGACCTAGACATTTGTGTCGTACGGGTTAGTATGTTATGAACAATGTTGAATTTGGATGATACTGCCCGGTAATAACAGAACAGGAACATAATTGCCAGAATTAACAGAATAGAGGGAATCGTAAGACTTGGTAGTGCAAATTCCCGTGACAGGTAAAATGGCAAGTTATTATTCAAATCAGCAAAATGTGTCTCGTTCAAGAAAGCTAAAACTTTTAATTTCTCTGATACTATTTGAATATCCTTGATAGTGAAATTCATTATAGGAAGTGGAATTAAACAGACTTGAGTTTTCGATTTAACGCAAAATGCTGATGAGTAGGCAAGGTCCGTAATGTACTACAAGTGATTTCACAGTAATCAGGAGCCTTGTAATGCCCTTTCACAACTAGCTGCTTAACACCATTTTGGCATTTTAAAATTACAGTAGTGAGATTTGGAAAGAACAAATACTGCACATTGTGAAGGTGAGCGTGGAACACAGTCTTTAGACTAACTGGCCTATAACTGCATTGCGCTAACGCTGTGCGTACATTTGGTTGTATGACTGCCAATTCACATATTCCCTCTGCAGCAGGAATAAATGCAAACATGTAGGCTGGACATACGTGTAGGTATAGATAAGACGACTTACACCGTGACAGTACCTCAGAATCCAGTATTGATAACAATGAATATTCTTCATCTACTAAGAAAAGTTCTTTAGGCCTATCTAGGGTATACAGTGTGTCGTTCACAAACCAGGGGAAGGGTTCTAAATGCCATGCATTAAACTCATGTTGCCCTCGCATAGGAATGTGGATCAGAATTGCATTGTGCGTGAGGGTTGACTCCAACAGCGGGTAATAATAGTGAACCTCATTGTCATTGAAAATAGGAGTTAAATGATACTGCCACTTGGCTATTTTTAAGGCTTCAAGAAGCGTCTGCACAGGCACAAGCTTCGCGTCCACACGTCCTATCCCGGCATCTACAATGCTGTCTATTAGTTCATTTTTAGAGGTTACAATTATATGAACTGAAATTTCAGCAGCATG